GGTTCTTTCGGTAAAGTCACGTAGGTAGAAAAATGAAATGAAATTGCATAATTTTTTTCTAAAGAATTTTTTTATCAAAAAATTAATTAAATCACAAAATGTAGTTTTTTTTTATTCTTTTTTATTTTTTTATAAAAAAAATATTTTTTTTTATTTTATACCTACTTGACTTTACCGAAAGAACCAAAGAGTAGAGATGAGATCTCTTACGACATGGAGATCAAAGCCGTCTACGTCTTCCGGAAGATTCTATTCTGGGTCGTAGCCATCAGTATTATCTGTGTTTTTAGGACGTCTACATGTAAAAAAAATATATCTGCACTCACGTGTTACCTGAAAAGTTTAAATAAGAGTTATCGTCTTATTTTAGGCATATCGGAAGTTGATTAAAATCGGTGATTAATGTTGAGATGCGGTTCCAGTAATAACGCGTAGACTTTCGCGATGTAATCCATAATATAGTTTTTTTGGGTTAGATCGCGTAAATGTGTGGTTAAACCCGCCACCACCCGACACAGCCAATTGGTAAGTTATGTCACGTAAACAAAGGATTTCTCCACAAATCTGGCTGTCCGTCTGATGATGCTAGTTGTAATTACTGGCGAAACGTCGTACACAGAATGTAAATGTGGATTCTCTCTCCAACACACCGGTGTGCTGTACTGGTAACGAATTAGCACGTTCTGTTTACGTGACAAACCTTACTAATTGGCTGTGTCGGGTGGTGGCGGGTTTAACGACACATTTATATTTACGTGATTTAACCCAAAAAATGCCTATATTATGGTTCAGTGATGTTACTAAGTTTTAGCGTTAACACGCTTTTTCCATCGGGGAACACTTTTCGCACAACACTCACCCTTTATAACGCACAACGCGCGCCGTTATAACGTGGAACGCGTCTCGTTATAACGCGGAACGCGTCTCGTTATAACGCGGAACGCGTCTCGTTATAACGCGGAACGCGCACCGCTATAACGTGGAACGCGTCTCGTTATAACGCGGAACGCGCGCCGCTATAACGCGGAACGCGTCTCGTTATAACGCGGAACGCGCGCCGCTATAACGCGGAACGCGTCTCGTTATAACGCGGAACGCGTCTCGTTATAACGCGGAACGTGCCTCGTTATAACGCGGTTGCCGTGCCTCGACGACGAACTACTTTCTCGAGCTGCGCGACTGAGCGGAGTGATACGAAACGCGGACTGATACAGTCACGCGGCGGCGGCGGTACCCTCCTCAGTTATGAGTACCACCTCCATCTCGCTGTGTCAACGTAGTGCATCCTATCTCGCTAATAGTTTTTTTTTTCCTTAATGCATTTTCGCTTAACGTGGAACTTTTCACGAACGTGGTTACCGCGTTAAACGAGGTACTTGCTGTTGATGTAATTCGTTACCGTGTTTTTTGGGGGGACTTTAGATTCATCTGCGCCCTCGTGTTAGCTGACAAGTTTTATTACAATTAATTACGTACTTTTTTCCATCGTATTCCGAAGTTGATTAAAGTCGCGAGATTGCTAATAATTAAACGTGGTTCCACGAAGTACACAGTTGCGTACACTACCGTGCGCTCGTACAATTCCAACGCAATCAATTTCCATGAATTTGGCCCACCGATCACAATAATATCGATCCGATATTAACAACGACGCCACGATGGATCATGAAGACAGCGACTCCACTGCGAGCCTGGTGGAATGTTCCTTTGACGAGGACAAATGGAACGAGCCCCACCACCGGTACGAATTAACATGATCGATTACAGGACACAGTGATGTCCTCCACGATTACACGCGCGCAGCCGCATTCCTCGAGGAGGCCTTCACTTATATACATTTATACGTTTTCATCGCAATTTATTCTCTTATTGAGTTTGCACGTGTGTTCGGGTCCCATAGCTTTAATCACACGCCCGACTGTGGCCTTGGTCTTCAATTATCCATTGACGAAGGGGGGTTGGTTGGCACACCGTACGTGCATGATGTTAAACGTCTTCTACACCGTACGTGCATGATGTTCAGCTTCTTTCACACCGTACGTGCATGATGTTCAGCTTCTTTCACACCGTACGTGCATGATGTTCAGCTTCTTTCACACCGTACGTGCAGTATGTTGAGCTTCTTTCACACCGTACGTGCAGTATGTTGAGCTTCTTTCACACCGTACGTGCAGTATGTTGAGCTTCTTTCACACCGTACGTGCATGATGTTCAGCTTCTTTCACACCGTACGTACATGATGTTAAACTTCTTCTACACCGTACGTGCATGATGTTCAGCTTCTACACCGTACGTGCATTATGTTGAGCTTTTCTTTCACACCGTACGTACAGCATGTTCAGCTTTCACACCGTACGTGCAGTATGTTCAGCTTCTTCTACACCGTACGTGCATGATGTTCAACATCTTTCACACCGTACGTAGCCAACCGCGCTAATTTGGACGTCCCGTTGATGTTCTAATGTCACAAAAGCCCCACGTTTGTTGAACTGTGCTGTGTTGCTGTCGATCAGGCGAGTGCAGGATGATAGCACCACCGGAGATGAGATGATGGGAGAAGTGGCTGGAATAATGACACATGGAGATGCAGGTGAGGGTTTGCCTTCAGTGGTGAAAATGAAGTTGTAGGGTGTGGGGACGGGAAGGTAATGTCATCTGCTTCATGGATTTATATTTCCTATGTAAAAAATTTTAACAAATCACGACGTTTCGGAGGCAACACAAGCTTCCGTCTTCAAGTGGAACCTTCACAGCAAAATTACTGTATCAATTTCTTTTTTTGACCTACGTGACTTTACGGAAAAAAACTTCAAATCTAGAATTTATATTTTCTGTTAATTTGTCACGTCATGAGCTGTGATTTCTATTCCAGCAGCTGCCATTGCACCAACGTGTATCGAAGAATGGCTTCGGAAGATGTCACAGAACATTGGTATTCTATCCACACAAGGGGCACGCCATGTCTATACCCTGCAAAGTGTTTTTTTTTATTACACGTCAAACTGCATTTTTTCTATCAAAGCCGGAGTATGCCAACTTAGTGACAACCAGATTTCATATTTCTTTTATTTTTGCGACTGGTAGGGCGGTGGCGAAGTGGTTAACGCACTGAACTCTGAACCCGGCGACCTGAGTTTAATGCCTGGCCAAGGCGCCGCCCCACTATAGCAGCTGTAAATCAGAAATTATTTTTCTAATAAAAAAATACTTGTATATCAATCGTTTAGTTGTGTTTAAACATGTCTATTGGTTCTTTCAACGTGAATTGCCTAATGAAGATAACATTTTAAGTTGTTCGTATTAGACACCGCTGCAAAAAACACAGTCTGATTTGTGCCTCGGGGAGGTCTCGGGGCGCCTGTGAAGGCGTCCGAGTGAGAGATTTCTCTTCATTCTTTGAAATGAGCTTCGCCTCGTAGCCACGCCGTTTGAGACCCATTTAGGACGGTAAAAAGGCGCCCATGGCTGTAATTACGATGTCACAACGCGAGGTGGCACTGCAAATATAGCAGGTCATGGCCTACACTTAGGTGGGTGTACGACAGTATGATGCTGTTATTGTACAGTATGCGGTGTCTTGGTTTCCTTGGCTAATTTGTTGAGGCGTGTCAGCTGATCTTGCATTGTTCTTTAGGCTTTTGGCAGTGTCAAAGGGGTTGTGTAGCGTGGACTTGAGGGTCATGGGGACTGCATTTGTGTTTTCTTCTCTTACCTATAAAAGGCATTTTTTGTCCGTGCGTGGACGCAACTTGCGACGGATTTAACTCACAAATTGTGGGGTTTACGCTTAAAAAAAGTACCCAGATACCACATGATAAGCCCCGGCTCTCTACGGGACTAGGCCTCACAATGGCACTTTGTATACTTACTAGATAATATTATAGAGTCGATATATACTATTATAGAGTCGATAGATACCCCTATAAAGTCGGGAGATACTACTGCAGAGTCAGTAGATACTATTATAGAGTCAGTAGATACTACTATAGAGTAAACAGATACTTTTATAGAGTCAGATACTGCTGTAGAGCTAGATACTACTATAGAGTCAGATATTAGTCATTCTATTGTGTGTAGGGTGTTTAGGTATATATGCCTACGCGTGGGTAAAACTATTTTTAGAGGGGGGTGATCGACAATTTTCGGAAACCTTTTAGATAAACTATTTACCCCCCATTTTCTATAACTTTTTGGACTTCTGCAAGCATCTTATAATGTTGTTGACGGACAAATGGACAGACAAACTGCACGCTGGGCTTTCACAAAAGCTTAGTATTTGTCTATGTATATGTTGTGTTTTTAAGATAAGTTTTTAAATACATTTTTCACCCGGGCAATGCCGGGTACTTCCCGCTAGTTGTTTACAAATGCCTAGTGTTGGTAGATAACACAGTTATATAATTTTCACGGGAAGGCCAATAACATGATGAGATTTTTTTCATTAGAACACCAGATTTTCAGAGGTCACTCACAACAGCCCCACCTAGTGGCAATGTCACGAGCCGCCACTGGTGGCGAGTGATATTTGAGTCAGTCCTGGTCCCCAACCCTCCCCGCCCCCACACTCGTCAGTGTGGTCAAGTATGAGCAAAGAACTCCCATGACTGACATGGCATGGGGAAGCCATCCAGCATTGGATTCACAAAGGACTGGAAATGATGAATGTTAGTGACTAGGCTAAGATTATCAATTCACTACACTTGGCCTAATTTAATGACATTTGGCTGTTCCGATTTGAATCGTCTTCGTAATCCAACATATCATGGGCCACATTGACTTATCCAAATGACAAATGTAATGTTTATGTTCCAGAAGGGCTCTCTCCGGTGATCGCAGTCGTGCCCAAAATAAAAATCAACATTCAGGACTGGGGACTCGAGACTGACCCTTCAGCGTCCTGCCATGGAGGTTAAGCGTTTTATTATATATTTTTTTTTGCTTGTGCTGCATATTCATGTAATCACAGAAAATATGGTAACATGTTCAATTGTTCACAGGAAACGGAAGAGGAAGGGTTTTCCCAATCTCTCTTTGATGAAATGTAAGTGTTACATGTGCTCCTCAGATTTAAAGTTGACAATATAAATATTTTCCCACGCTATATTGTGCTGACATTGGTGATGGTTCATCATCACCATCATCAGCTATGGTCGATTAACCGCTGGATGAAGGCCTCTCCAAGCTGCAGCCTTCCAAATTGAATCCTGCAATATAATAATAGAGCACAGATAGCGTGGAAAAACCAGCTGAAATTATTATGTTTAAAACGTAGGCTTACGCGGCCAATATTATTAATAATAAAGTTTTTTTTTGATTAGATTGTGTAAATATTTATATTATAATTTCAACAGTTCTTTTTTCCACGCGATCTAACCCAGAAACCTTTATTATGAAATATGCACATCGAGATTGCTTTACAGACTCAACATGACGGTGGCTCTGCTCAATTATGGCATTTTTGTCTATTTCAGCATTTCGAAGAAAAATGTACATTCTTCTGAAGAAGCCAAAGGTCATTTTGGTCAGGAAGTTAAAATAAAAGCGTATTATAATTGTTGTACATAACACATAATAGACACTCGCATTCTAAATGGGCAAAAGCATAAAATATACTGCAGCTGCTCGTTGTGAACATGTGTGCACGAGAATGTATTGTCATATTGTTTGTGCGTTTGCCTTTAGACTTGGTGGGAGTTGGTGAGGGCATGATAATTAAACCCCCCAGTGACAGAGAAGAAGTTGTACAACAGGTGAAGTATACATTTAAAAAAACATCCCATTACACTCAGTTACAAGATACAGTGTCTATTGTAATATAATTTTACAATGTAAAAAGTATATATTTTATCTTAAACATTACAATGTAAATAATTTCAGGAAATGGAACCAGATTATGAAAATTCTGGAATCAGCCTCATATCTGGAAATGTGGTGTCGGTGTATCGCCCACTGGCACATACTTCTGAAAGCTCAGCTGCTGAAGACGAAAGTCAAAGAATGCTCCAGGTTGGAGATTGTGTTGCAATGAAAAAATTCAAAGATTCCCACTATTCTCCGCACGCCTCTCCTATTCATATTAGATTTGGGGTTTCCGTGCCAGCTGAAGACGTTCGTGCAGTGAGCATTTCATCAGAGAGTGCTCCAAACACATTTTCCTATAAATGCACACCCAACGATGTTTTTTCCAAAGTTTATACATCGAATAAAGTGTCGATGTCCTTGGTTCGAGTGAGAGTACACCAAGTGATATCGCTGCCCTGCCTACAAGACCTGATAACCTATCGATCACCCAGGAGAGCAAGGAGAGCTCCATGACAGTAATAGATTCATCAGACAAAGCGATGAACACTTTGAACACGATTGTGGTTGATTCTAAAATCTCCGCGGCTACATTACCGTTAGTGACCATCTGGAAAAATGGGAAAAGTATATATTTGGAAGACGCAATTGAAACTAATGTGCCAAAGAATGAGAAATTGAGAACGTATGCAAAATACAAAGAAAGAACTGATAGCTGCGCTGAAAATGCTGGAAAAACGAAAGTGGGTGAGGTTACTTTTTGCTCAAAGATGACATCGCCACTGAGTTGTCAGGAAGACACCATTGCTGATGATGCCTCAAACACCTCTTGTTCATTAGATGTGCTGTGTGGCGAGCATACTGCAGGACAAATGACTGAGAAGAATGCAGAGAGCTGCAGTGTTGAAGTGTTGCTGGATTCAACAGAATACTCAAATTTTGATTCACAATTTCCACCCGAAGTGAGAAAGTCGTCACGGTTGGCAAGAAAGTGGAAAGATGGCCCACCAACTTATTTCTGGAGAGGAGTCAAAAACATCAAAACAGAGACACGTACGTTGGCTTGTGTGATACATTCGCATGTATACATCGTCTATTTTCTTGGTTCTTTCGGTAAGTCACATAGATAGAAAACAAAAATCTAAATTTAAAGCAAAAAACCCACGACGCTTCGATCGCAACACAAGTGGTCTTCAGGTGGAGAGAAAAGAGGGGGCAAGCCTCCAAATGTAGCTAATTTTGATTTTAGTTTTCTATCTACATGACTTTACCGAAAGAACCAAGAATTTGAATTCCTGCAGTCACGAAAGTTTTATGTCTAAAAATACGTCGTCTATTTTACATCTAACAGCTATTCCCTCTCAATCGGTTTTCTTTGAACAATTTATTCTTTGCAAGGGTAATTAAAAATTAATTATTTGTGTTCATCGCCATCTACATACTTTTCATTTTATTTATGCGGTTGTGCGGTCTATGATGCGTTTTTGGGTTGAGCCGCGTGTTCGGCATGATGTCGGACATTTGGCTGCACGAACAGCACGTGGTGCAAACTAACAACGCACCGGAGAGCAATAGCTTCGATTAGTTTCTATCATAGGCCTGTGGTAATAACTTTTGTGGTTTATATTTGTAATTTTGTATTTTTATTATTATTTTGTAACCGTGGTTGCCCTTGCAACAGAGGCTTGTAATCTCAACGGGCTTTCGACTAGTCGTACATGTTCAGAATATTTTTGGCCAGGAGATGGCAGTGGATTCTTAGACTCATGTGGGTTTCCGCTGGGTACCCCAGCCTTCCACCCACATGTCAAACAGTATTGGAATTGGCAAAAACATCCCAATGCAGGACCCTCATGAAATAGTCTTGAAACTCTGTGAGGCTTTCCTGGATAAGTGAAAGCCAATTGTAGTATGCATTAACCCAGACTTCTAAGTTAACATTAAGGATTGTGCACTTTTTTTTCAATTGACAGCATAAGCACAATGAGCTTAAGTAGTCACGTTAAGAAGGGTATGTGTCAATCTTTCATATCTTCTTGGTTCTTTCGGTAAAGTCACGTAGAAGGGAAATAATAAAATAATAAAAATAAAACATAAAATACAATTCTCACGACGTTTTGGCCACAACGCAAGCAGCCGTCCTCAGGTGAAGAACAGGTCTGTCGGAAAGACAGCGTCTGACGCTGTCTTTCCGACGCTGTCTTTCCGACAGGTCTGTCTTTCCGACAGACCTGTTCTTCACCTGAGGACGGCTGCTTGCGTTGTCGCCGAAACGTCGTGAGAATTGTATTTTATTATGTTTTATTTTTATTATTTCCCTTCTACGTGACTTTACCGAAAGAACCAAGAAGATGAATCCCTGCAGTCACGAAAGCTTTAAATCGAAATTTAATCTTTCATATATTTGTAGCGTGGTGGTCTCGAAGTAATTTAATGATGTTTCGTGCCTAATATATTTATGTAAGCTTGTACAGCCCTTTTGTCAACCCACTGCTGGATGAGGGACAAGCCACGTGCTGCACCACAGTGGTTGGTGATGGTGAAGGAATGGAGCACACAAGTCGAGAGTTACAGCAGTGGGTGTGTCTGTGCGGCCCACTGCTTGCCCACCTTGTAGCCCCACAGCCCTATGACAACACACTTGTGGTCACCCATCCAACCATTAACCAGGCTCAACCTGCTCAGCTGCTGGGATCTGATGAGATTGGATGCATTACGGGTGATTAGGTCCAAGCTAAAGCTGTTTAAATTTCGATTTAAAGCTTTCGTGACTGCAGGGATTCATCTTCTTGGTTCTTTCGGTAAAGTCACGTAGAATGGAAATAATAAAATAATAATAAATCATTCAGACTCTGTCTCAGAGTCATTCGGACTCTGTCTCCTCGACAGACCTGTTCTCCACCTGAGGACGGCTGTTTGCGTTGTGGCTGAAACGTCGTGAGAATTATTTTATTGTTTTATTTTTATTATTTTATTATTTCCATTCTACGTGACTTTACCGAAAGAACCAAGAAAATAAAGCTGTTTAAGTTTGTATTGTAATCCATGTGAGCACTTGTTGTTCAGCAGATGACTACGTGAACGCGTGCAACATTAAAGGCGAGACTCAACTTCATTTGGCAGCTTTGAAAGGTCACTTGTCAAAGGTGAAATCTTTGATTCAGAGTGGATCAGACGTTAATGCTCCGGATTATGCTGGTGAGCTTACTGTGTTGTGAAACATGCTTTGCTCGTGACAAAAAATACATCATCGCATGTGACATTTATTTTATCTACTTGGAACATACTGTCCATTTGACTCTCTTGCCTCTGTGTGCTGTGAAGAAAAGCCACTGCCTGAACGTTGCCTATTTTATCTTTTTTATTTTATGAATGTCATTATTTTTGCCTGTTTAGCACTGGCAATGCAGTATCACTTAATAATTTGGCCATAACATGGCATTTTTAAAAATGTTATTCAATTAAGAAACGCATTAATGCATTAGCTCTAGCCTGTAACGAGAGGTCACGATAACTGTGGTGAAGATAAATACAACTTTAGTACAAAGTTGTGTAATTCAGGACGCAACAAAAAAACTGACAAGGGTTGCCCAACACGTGGTAATAAAAAATAATACGTCCAAATAATAAGTCTTTTCCACCAAGACAATGACATCACAAGCCTAGCACGTGCCTTGCCCCACCCAATGATGTAATTTGCCCGTGACGTCATCTCCTGCAGTTCACAAGATACTTTCTGAGGTTAAACGCATTATAGAAACATTGTTTACAAATACGTTCTCAGTTTTACGAATAACTTTGTTTTTACTCTTAAGGTTGGACGCCACTGCATGTAGCGAGTACTCATGGGTTTGTGAATGTAGTTCTGGAATTGGTCAGAGCCAAAGCAAAGGTTAATTGCCGTGGCTTGGATGACATTACCCCTCTGCACGACGCTGCCAAGTGTGGTCATTGGAAGGTAACGGTGCACCTTCGACGTACAATTCGCCTCCTTCCCATATCTGCCCTTCCACCTAACACAAATAAAAGTACAGTATTCTTTATACATCCCGTAAGCCGCACGGCCTTCTGGGAGTGCATCATTTCAATGCCATTCAACATGGACCGTGAAAAAGTGTCACTGCCCAAAAGATTGCCTGTAATATACATTTCCTTTTAAGGCAGCGTTATTCAATGAATGTAATGTGTTCATGAATGTGTTCAGTTTTTTTTTTATATTAAGCTTGCAATACAGTGTGTCCGAATAATGTGTTTATATTGTGGTTGTGTGTGCAGGTGGTGCAGTGCCTGCTGGAGAATGGCGCAGACCCCCGGATAAAAAATGCTCACGGCAAAACCGCCCTCGAGTTGTGTCAAGATGCCAGGGTGCAACATCTGCTGAGTACCTGGGCTAAAGCACAGTGCGCCGATGGCGACCAAACGAGATTACTCGTGGACGAGCCAGCCCGTTTCCCTGCAGGTGAAGCTAGTAAGGAGCCAGTGACCGCCTTTAGGGGACGTCACTGCCCTGCTAGCGAGGTAGAGATCAGACGGAGCTGTGATGGGGCATTGAAGGACCACTGTCCAGAAGGGAAGACATATCCAGTGAAACCAGGAAAGAAGAAAGGACACGGACATTCAAGTGATAAACAGCTCCATCTCATTCAGGTACAGGTTTTACACGGAGGTGTTAGTTACTAAATAAGGGAACTTGCCCAAGGGGACAATCAGCTTGTGTGCTGGATTACGAGAATTTGAGCTGGTGACACCTTGGGGAGGCTAGCCGTGGATATACGATAATTGCTGTATTGTACCTCAAATCTTTCAGTGTGTTTATTCATCAATATGGATGTAATGATTCATTAATTTATTTCATCGACTCCTACGCACAGCAATACACACGTACAATCATGAGTACAATTGCAAGTATTTACAATTTCTGTATCTTTTCAGATACACAAATGTTACATTTATTTTAAATGAAATGAACAGCATAATTGATGGGAAAAAAATATTGTAAAATAAGATGTGTTTTAAATATGCATTCTTTAGTTGCAGGGGGTCAATCGATAAATGACTTGATCAGCGGGTACGTGCTTTAAAAGCTCTGGGGAGCGGAGGTGTAGTGGTTAGCGCACTGCCCTACGAACCCGGTGAACGGTCATGGCCACCATCACTGGTGAATGTCTTCACCGGTCCCAGGCCACCGATACCACTGGTATTTTGACTCGGCCTGAAATTAGTAACTGGTATGTAACATCATCACTGGGAAAACAAAGGCAGCATCCAATCGTGTGCCATGCTGGACTTAGTGGGTGCTCACTATCGGCGTTTGTGCCAACAGTCCATTAAAAGCTACGTGGGGGATCTTTGTTTTTGCTTTGTAATGAATGCTACTTAGGTTTTTAAGGAGGCTATAAAAGAACTTGACGATATCGAGGTCACCCTGCAGTCCATAAAGTCATGGGATCTTTCAGTGACTGGAAAAGCAGGTACAATTTCAGATCAGTTTCTTCTTTTGTAGAAAACACGTCTTAAAACATGAATGTTTTTTTGAAGCTTGTGACCGTACATGTATCACACTCCCTTTTAAGCTGCAAAGGTACGACTTGTGATAATTATGTTATGTGGTAAAAAAAATGTACCGGATAAAAATGGCAAATGTGATAAAGAACAATTATGTTGATTTGAAAGGAGTAGGTTAACGCTTTACATATGGGAAGTTGTACATGTGCAGTATAACTAAATTATTATTTTTTTTAACAGGCGAATACAAACAAGCTGTACAGAAGATGCATTTGATGCTAAACACTTTGCTTCAACGTCAAAAGAAAGACTCACATTCTTTGAGCAACAGCACGTAATGAGTGAAACGGCGTCTTTGACATTGTTGTTTTTAATCTGTATATTCATTAGCTTCAAAGTAATACTTTTTTTCCTCCTTAGAGTGCCAGAAACTTAAATTAATTGGAGGCAAACATATTATAACCCTTTACATTTGGCTGGTGGGAATGGTAGTTGTGGTGTTCTCCCGATCAGTCAAACCCCATACAAGTATTAAAAAAAAAATTACATTACGTAAAATAGATTGAAAATTGTCAGCAAGAAAGTAGCACCTTAAATGTATAATAACCATTTGTGTATATTTTAAAACGCAAATGTGTGTATTTTAAAATGTGACGTAAAATTACAAACGTTAACTCTTTTTTCACATTGCCTGCTTTGTTTACATTTAGAAAGCACTCAAGTGTGTGCCGAGCCAAAGCGAATAGTGAACTGTGGGATCTGCTCATGATTCGCAAAAAAAAATTTATGGAACGACTCAAAACTCACAGGGAGCTCAGCTTCAGATACAAGACTTTCCAGCAAGAACTTAAACAGCAGTCGGAGTTTCAGCAGCAGACGTTGGAGAGCGGAAATTCTCAGGGGGAACAAATACCCTCGGCATCGGGAATGACTGTGGAATCGAGTGACTTTGCTCAGGTTCCGAACACCATTGTGCAAGCAGAACAACAACAAACCATGGGATCATCTGTGGTCATTCCATGTACTTCGGAAAACACGTCCGCTCCGCCAATCACCGATTATGCAGTGCAGAAGGACAGAGCTACTATAGTGCAAGTAGGAAATATGACTTTTGATTCTGAGGAGGTGGTTTATATCCCCGATAGTTTGATCAGCTGTACACAGAAAAGCAGCGGCCAGAGTTCAGCAGTGACACCTGAGCCCTGTAACAGCCAAATGCAAATACTTGCGAACGGTCTGTCAGCGGGAGCACAAAATGAATACGTATCAGATAAGTCGGCTGTCGTTCTTCAAAACACACCACAGATTTTAAGTGTTACAAGGCATCCTACAGATGACCATGACTACACCCGGCTGCACGGACAGCAAAAAGGGGGCGTAGAACGTCAGGATGCGGACGTGGAAGTAGTTATTCGAGCTGCACCGGGAGAGGTCATCATGCGGCCAACTGAAAGTCAGACAGGTGTCACGGGAAAAAGCATTCCGTCGTTTCTCAGTTATCGACAGCTCGTTAATCAAGGGGTTTTACAGCCCGGGAAAGATGTTCTCTCCATTCACGTGAAGGTAATACGCACAGTGTTGAATGCAATTACATGGACATGCAAGTGATCACAGTTAGGCATGTAGTGAATCGTCGATTAAAAACGGATTACTCCACAAAATGTATATTGTGTCATGCGCACAAGAATCAATTATTTAGTTTGTAAACATTATTTGCAGCTTTGCCGATGACCAATTGACCCGGAATGTGCCTGAACGCGTCAGATCTCGGAAGCTAAGTAGGTTTGAGCTTGAATAGTGCTTTTATGGGTAGCCACCATGCAGTAAAAAAAAGTGTTACAGGCTTGCGGGTCTATATGAAGGGAAAAACAATGTAAGTTGCACTGTGCTATGCTGCCACGCCTGTGATCCCCACCTTAAATTCACACTGGTCACCGCGGTGAAGTATGGTCAAATAACTTCCCCACGGCTTGCACGATGTGAGGAAGCCCTCGTCCAGCAGTGGATTGACAAAGGGCTGTACATGTACAAACATACAATTAGTCCGATGGAGTGAAATAGACGGCACAAACAAAATGTAGCATTGGAAAAAACGTAAGAAACGGGACAAAGGACACCCGATTCGTGAAAAATAATTATTGAAAGGAAGAGTTGCCTTGAATCATGACAGTTCTTCAAATATTCTTGGTTCTTTCGGTAAAGTCACTTAGAAGGGAAATAATAAAATAATAAAAATAAAACAGTACACTTCTCTAGATGTTTCGATTCCAACACAAGCAATCAGGTTTTCACACATGCTGATTACTTGTGTTGCAATCGAAACGTCGTGAGAATTTTATTGTTTTATTTTTATCATTTTATTGCTTTATTTTTATTATTTTATTGTATTATTTTTATTATTTCCCTTCTACGTGACTTTACCGAAAGAACCAAGAATATGAATCCCTGCAGTCACGAAAGCTTTAAATCGAAGTTCTTCAAATTTGGAAGGCTGTGGACCGTGTCATAATATTTCAGTGTGCTCAAGAGTTTAGTTGACAGCGATATTTTTTGTGGCCCAATTATTAAATCAAAATAAGTCTGAGTCTGATTCCCAGCCACATTTGACACTGTTGGACGAGTGATATCTGAACTCGTCCTTGATCCACCTTCAAGCCGCACTGAACAGCATGGTGGAGTATTGTCACTCAACTCAATTGAGCAACACACTGGGGAGTCCTTAATCCATTAGTACATTGACTAAAGGACCGTATAAAATATAAAACAGGATTGTAAAACAATATACAGGATTAGCAGTAACCATTTGTGGAATAATTGTGATATGCGTGTGCATGCCTCATTTCACAGGGCACGGTGCATTATGCCACTTTGCTGATGAATGGGACTATCCTGACGCCACAGCTGGTGATGTACAAATCCCCGATGCTGTGGCATAAGGCGCTCTTGGCAAGCAACTCCAGCCCCAAGTGGAGCGTTACTGCTAGCGTGGTACGTGCGTCATTGCCACGCTCCAAGGAGCATGCCATCAATATTTCTTTTTCAGGGTTGATGAGATTTGCCATGGTCACTTTTCCGATGCGGTGTGCGGACGTGTGCCGCTCTTTGTTTGCCGTAGCTTGACGCCGGACGTCACGTCAAATATTGAAAACTCGTGAAAAAATAAGAATAGGTGTTTACCCTTTATGGCAATAAAACAGTTGTTAAGATGATAATTGTTTTTTTACCCTTCTATCTGGCAACAAAACTGACACTTTTTTTACAAGGAGTCATGTTTGCATAGACCACAATACCTGTAGTCATAATGCAAACAAAAAACATAACTCTGATAATGTATGCACTGTCCTTGAAGTTGATTGGTCCACACCCGAGACAGCTTTCCTTAGAGCCTAGTCTCACATGGGTTGGACCAGATGACGCCTTTTATTTGATTATTTCCCTCTACGTGACTTTACCGAAAGAACCAAGAAGATGAATCCCTGCAGTCACGAAAGCTTTAAATCGAAAAAAAAAAATATGATTGCCAGAAAGGGTAAAGCTATTGTTCGTCTTTCATCATTTTTGATACTGGTGTAGAGAAGTTGGCGACGACTCACTCAGAGACGAAGGTCAGGTTAAGGGCTTTCACCCTTTATTCAGGGCTACACAACACACGGGGGTGGGGGGGGGGTGAACCACTTCCCAGGGGTTAGGGGTCCCGGGCTTGGTCCCACTCGGTCCCGACACAGCCGGCTGCCCTGTGCCGTCTCCTCTGCGCCGGCCGTGGGATCAGCCAACACGGCCGACCGAGGAGCACAGCCACGTCCAGCCCTGGCGCTGTGCTATATCCACTATCCCTACCCTCTTGACCCTGGCTCCCCGTTGCACCCTCTCTCGACCCTTGACTCCAGCTACGACCCCGCTTACGTCACGGGGTCCCCCCTTTATCCTCGAGGAGCTGTGTCGTCATGTGCACTGTCCAGCGCGCGTGAACCCACGTCCCGTGACGCCATCGCACCGGACAGCGCACATGACGCCGCCACTCTGTTCTACTCCTCTACATTGGCCAAAAGGTCCCACAGATATTTCTTGAGAACTGTTTTTTGCTGTTTAGTTTGTAGTACTTCCCCCCCCCCACACCTCCAATTAGCACTGTTGTCTAGCCTACGTGCGAAAGAAGTTCAACGTGCACACAAACACGCGGCACAACCCGAAAACACATCGGAGAGCCTTGCAGCAACAAACGCGAACACCTGCACAGTAGCAAGGCCAAACGCTTTGAGATGAGTAATGTTAAGTGTCTGGTACCACACATGTGACATTCAATACCAGTGCACTTAAGAACTTGTCAACATCCCATCGGCATCGCCCCAACGCCGCGCACACATTCAGTGTTTGCTCTTATTAGATCATGGCGGTGCAAACAGTGTCAATATAAATATTTCTTTGGTTGACTTTGTGAAGCCTTGCTCATGTAATTGCCTTCTTTCAGGTATCGTACGAGGGAAGAATGATGTCAAGTTATGCTAAACGTGAAAGCTACCCATCCGCACCTCTGGCGATTCCAAGCATTGCAGTCGCTGTTTCGACATCGAATACAGCAAACATTGCTGCTCGTGCGTATTGAATTATGTTGTGAATACAATGCCATGTATGTGTAGTTGGGAGCAACACTATTTATTCACATAACAGTACGTAACATAACACAACCTTCAGTTTCATTTATTTGGTATAGCCCTGTGAGCCATTCGGCTCTTGAATCGGGTGCAACCGCAACAAACAAAAAACAAAAACATGAACAAGAAAACATCTTAAAGTGACTATGTGACTATGTGCAAACAGAAAATCCAAAAAAAGACAACTAAATATTGCAGAAAAAGCACCGTACACCAACGCTGTGTGCAAAAATCCCAGTGGGATGCAAGTCAAACAACAACAACCACAAGACAACTTCGATTAAGGCCATTAGTCTTAACTCTGTACTACAACAAACATGGCCAAACCAAAAAACTTTTCGAAATCGCCAAAATAAAGCCATAAAAGCAATGTAACAGTGATCATAGGAACTGTGACCGAATTTTCACAATAAACGACATAAACAACATGCAGCCATAGCTGGCTGCTTGAGTCACTCCACAACAGCAGGAGCATCAGTCGGAGTATCACAATTTTTCAATGCACCTTTAAGATCAGCACACTAAATCAAAACACACATCATACTTTGCAACGGTCATCCGGAGCGAAACATTTTATTTTATTTTAGGCCACTGAATAGCAGTAGCAGCTAGGGGTGTACAACTCCTCTAGAGCAGTTTTGAGTGAAGATACAGGGGCCGCGTAGCTAGTTAGTACGTCGGAGTCTCGTTCGTTATCTGGTATCGGGTGTCAAATGCCCATCTCACCACGCTACGCTAGAACTAGACACGATTCGCTATCCCGGACCATGAGCTGGGTCCCGGACTGCGTGGCTAGAGGCTTCTTCTCCCCGACGTGGATCTTCCAACACCAACACTTGAAGAACCCCGAGCTCCTCACGGGCTGGGGCTGGCTCCGCCCTCAGCCCCGTCCACCTTCCAGGCTTCTAGAGCTCCTTCTCGAATGTTCCCGAGAGCTCTTCGGGACCACGTGACCGCCCCTCGGCCCCCGTCCACCGGTGCCCCCCCCTCTAGTATCGTCTGGTCACGTGACAACAGGTCAGCCAGAGTGTCGTGCCCCAGAGTAACCCTCGCTGGTTGACTCTCCCTCTTGCTCCCTCACTGGGAGCCGGCACCGCACACTGCTCATGGTGCCTCCGCTCTCACCAGCGCTCACCCAACCACCGCTAGAGTTGGTACTGCAGCCTGCAACCAGGGCTGCCCGTAATCACAATGTTACCGGCTGTGACTTCCCGGCACCATACAGTGACAAGTAGTAACTACATATTGTTGCTTAAGGAAGTAACTTGATAGCATCGATATGTTATTACTGCATCCCCTCGCCATCCGCGGTATTTACGTGTCCTTGCGGCATATCACTTTGCTAACTTTGCTAACCGCGGCACAGAGTTTTGTGTATTCGCGGTTGAGCACGGCGACCGGCACTTGTAATTTGAAATCACCCTGCAATGTGTTCCCTCCGTGCATCTTCTCGTCTCCCAGCTCCCGCCACCGCTCTCTTCCCACCACCAGGTAAAGGTGGGGGGGGCAGAGCCCCTCTTCCTTTGAACAATCGCCTCCACCCCCCCGTTATTACCTCAACGCCATTACCATGGACTTCATCCCTCAGTATAAAAGGTAAATAACATAATTTTATCGTTTTTAATTATATTACTTGAACATTTATTGGGTTTTTTGTTGTTATGTTATTGTGTATTTTATTTGTGCTTAGTGTAGGAACAGGCAACGTTGACTTTGGCGAGTGTAACTGCAGCCACAGTTGCCCCCATTTCCCATAATGCCTTACTAGTCAGGAGCGTAACATGCGGCGGTTGTCGATGGATTGTTGTATTCTTATTGTATATATGTACTGTTTCATGAAAAGATTGTAAAAACTGGAGGACAAAGTGTAACGTTAAGAATGTTTAACTTTCTGTAATGTAATCTGCTTGAAATATTTTAAGCAAAGGGATAACATGTATATTTGCTGAAGCTTGTGAAGCTGACTCGTCGTACTTTAAGCAAGGGGAGATTATATATTTGTCTAAGGCTTGTGGATTGGATTGCATTTAGTATTAATATAATAATGTACACACAGGCTTACAGTTGTACGTGGTATTTCATCTTCCCCGTTAGTGCTTACATGGTTTAGGTAAAAAATCATCCGTGAATAAGCATGTTCCTGAATAACCCTTTTTATGTATGTATGTATGTTGAACTTCTTTCGATGTTAGATACAACTTTTTGCATTTCTTTATCGCATATTGTGACATCTCGTCTGGTGTGAACTTTCTTTATGGTCAACATCCTTTCCGAGTTACCACGTCAATTATCAGTTCAGCCAAGCATAATTAAATTTACTCATTTGTCGATTTACTCAAGAATTAAATGTCAAAACCAGTCGGATTCGTGTGATGAATGTGGGATGATTAATGCATCCAGTTTTTTCCCCCATACAATTAATGATATAATGTCTTCTCTAGGTCTTTATGTCTGGCATTTATGTCCACAGGTCTTGCCCAAGAGACACCTATCTACAGTGAGACTCGGTCTTGCACTAAACCCAGGGATGCCCCCATCACTAAATACTTTATTTTGCCATCGCCAGACTGTAAGTAATAGCTTTCACTTTTCACAGGCTGATTAACATATTCAGTTAATAGTTACATAACCAAATTAAATTATTTTAGCTTGTGTAATTTATTTGCAAAATCTGCACACCCTTTCACATGTTTTGCACAACTTTGTTTATTACAGGTGACCTCACTGGATGTGAAGGCTGTCAGATATTCACGTATCCAAAGAGGATTCTTCTGGTACAGAATTCTGAACTCTGTCCCATGTACTACATTAACAACCTATTTAATAACCCAGACAACTGGGATTTCCTATGCAGCGAAGGAACCAAACACGCTGATCATACCTCAACTCAGCCCTCCAGCAGCAGGGAATGCTCTTAAATTGCGAGCAATCACACAAGTAGCGGGCATGCGGCTCTTCTTCAAGCACCGCTTCAATCAGCAGCCAATGTTGCTAACTAAACATTTAATTTTCATTTTATTCCACTCATCTTCTTCATCATCAGCCACGGTTAATGGACTGCTGGATGAAGGCCTCCCCAAGGCAAAATATGACTCCGCTTTGTTGATCGTAGGCTGCTATGAGCAGTGCCGAGTGTTTTTCAGGGCGTCGGGGATTTGGGTTGTGAGTGCTGGTGGGCGTGTGATTCAATCCATCTGCCGTATGATCAATTCCAGGTGTCTCATGAACACGATGAGCTGTCTGCTGTTAGAAACGAGCGTGCTATGAAGTCTATCCTCCGTAACTGCCGGTCTTTATGAGAGGGCGTTGGGGCCAGGACCCCACCACAAATCTGATCGACCAGTTGCCACTGGCTTTGTTCTTTTTGGGTCAGGTTTGATGGGAAAATCTGTTGCTCACACAGGGTGAATGTTGTTAATGCCAGTTCATTGCATATTTATTTACAACTGCTCTACAATGTAAAAGCCAGATGTGTGTAGTTGATGTGAAAATTAACGTCTTTGTTCAGATGGTTATAATGAGAGATCGATTACAGCTGGGTCTGTCCCAGTTGGCGATCCAGAAAACATTTCTGCACCCGTCACACCACATCCAGTATACCTTTGACTCTGGCTGTGCCGACTAGCAACATATTGTACCTTACTCGACTCTGCCAGTGACCAATAAGGTTTTCAGTTAAAGTAAGCCCCGGTGAAGAGCGTAGTTTGTTGTTAGTGCTTAAAACTTCAGTTATTCATTACTGTTTATTGCTCAGTTCTACAAGTGTTTGCAGTTGGATGTTGAAACAGATCCATTAAAATTCGATTGAGCAACGTTTTACGAGTGGTTTCACCTTCTGTTACTGATTGATAAAATGTGTGTTTTAATTGTGGTGCTTACTTTAATTGCAACTGTGTGAGTTTTACCCTTGCTGGCATATCTGGCTGTCTTTAACTCAAACACACCGCCAACAGAGACTCAAGATGTCAGACGGGACACGAATATTTGCTTTCGTACATCGCTGTGTCCAATGCCTGCAATGACTGGCTGTGTTGGATTTATAGGTGAATCGAACGTGTTATGTTTATTGCTCTTGCACAGAAAAAAAATCACCGTTTTTTTAAGCAATTACCATGAATGCAAAACACTTTTAATCACCATAATTCCATCAGGCCACATAACATCGGTTATAAAGATGCGAAAAAGAGCAATGCATGTAGCTGTTACATGAATACAAGAATACCGAAGCCAGCGATGGTAAAGTGAGAACTTAAGCATTGAGTGTCAATTAATCTTAGAGGAGTAAATGGTTGACAGTCTATAGGAACTAAATCACTTGGGAATGTGTTCAAGATCAGGATTGTTCCTGGATAGTGCTTAGATATGTTACTATAAATGGATGTGAAAGCTGGACAATTACCCTACAAAGCAAACTATAACCGAGATAAATACGGTTTTATGAAGGATATTTTTGTTTTATGTACTGACCAGATGAGTAACATTACGGATAGCAGGGTACACAACAATTAAATGTTTAGTGCTCGAACCGACACGGCAGCTTCTTGTCTTTCCTCATTACTTTATTGCGTGTATGTCGCTCAACATTCTTTCCTTCAACATCGCTCAATGTTCCTCCGCTCACGCCGATCCACAACCCCTCTCTCCGCTCGCCGCGTTCCGCCGGCCTCACTCGCTCCCCTTAACTCCTCCGTCGACTCTCCTCTCCGCTCTCTCCACCATAGTTCGGCTGCTCTTTATCAGCTCCGCCGTCCCACTCCGTCGTAACTACATCAACTTCTCTTCCCACGCTCCAGCCGCTTCCTACTCTTCGTCGTCCCACTGTTACTCCACACTTCTCCACTGCTACCCTACGCTTCTCCTCTCCACTGTTACCCTACGCTTCTCCACTGCTACCCTACGCTGCTCCACTGCTACCCTACGCTTCTCCACTGCTACCCTACGCTTCTCCACTGCTACCCTACGCTTCTCCACTGCTACCCTACGCTTCTCCACTGCTACCCTACGCTTCTCCACTGCTACCCTACGCTTCTCCACTGCTACCCTACGCTTCTCCATTGCTACCCTATCCTGGTACTCACTCTGCTGCTCCGACTCTCCATCATCTGTCTCCTCCCAGGCGCGAACTCCCGTCTCCAAAAACCCCTGACTTTATCCCCGAACCAATTAATTCCCAATTAATCTGGGCATCCCCCAAGACGCCACTCGCCCCCAGCCCCCGCTGCCACGTGGCATGTTTTTGCAGACACTGGCGCCTTTCTCCGACAACAACACCCTCTCGGCCAATCAGCGCCTTGCACCCTTAATTGCCACCTGCTACCATCCTCAAACATCACGCCACCTCAATTGGGACAACAACAACGACCAGCCAATCAGCGCCCTGTGTCCTCATTTGCTCTCACTATACGCCGCGTGCGCGCACACCGACCCCAGCGCGTGACGCGTATCTCAAGTACTACAAATGTATGATAATTTAATTAAAAGAACGGCCAGTTACATTTCGTGGACATGTAATGACAAAACAAGGGAGTGAATACTGCTAAAATTTTCGGTACAGAAAGCCAGAGAAGATTTCAAAGCGACCCCCCCCCCCCCAAAATAGAAGTCAAACTCCGCCGATGCTGCCTTGCTTCCGACTTGCAGCACAACACTGGTAACGAGTGATGTTAACTACCTCGCCGGGTGTGCAGGAGGTCGTGGATCCCATCCCGACCCTGACGCCTGCTGCTGTATATTTGGAGTTTGTGGTGTCTCTCTCCCCTTGGTGGCGTGGATTTTGTTTTGCTCCGGGTTCTCTGGTTTTTCCCTCCACATTTAAATACACGTGTTTAATCTTAATTTTTCGATACTTTGCTAGGTTATTTAATTTAGTGTGTTCTGTCTCCCTCTAAGCCTGCTTACCTTACCTCCCCTCCCTTCGTACTCATTGACATGTAAAAAATTTTCCCTACCCCCTCCCTCTCTCCACGCGTTTAGATTATTTCGATTATTTGGCTGCTAATCATTTCCACATGTTAAGCCACTTCGTTGAGCTATCAGTTGTGGCCAGGTCGCTTCTGAAATATAATCTAATAAGCTCAGTGGTCCTTACCTGGTAAAATAAAAAATAGTTTCCTCGTATTTGTTTTAGTGATTTGCTCACCTTTCCTATACTTTACACTCCTACCGTGTCTTTGTATTTGTTGTTGTAGCGCTCTGACCCGCCCCTACTGTGAAAGAGCTTCATAGCTCATCGGATTCCTCCACGTGCGTGCATGTTTATTCGTTTCTGCGATAGAGCGAAATTGCAATTTACCGTGCGATATATTAGGTCCGCGATAATCGATTCAGTCCATCATAGCCCCCCGGGGTCGGCACGACGAGCACCAGCGCTTGGAGAAGTTAACAGCGGTTTGTTTTATGGATAGACTTGTCCCCGCCATAACAACGTGGAATATCCACCACTGGCTCCGGGTTGTAAACAGAGAATGAGCGCCTCCTCAATGCTCATTTGAGCGGTAATTGTTTTGATATTGTTGACTTTTAATCGTATCCAGAACCGGCCCTAGACCTTTGGGGGCCCTAAGTAAACTTTGGTTGGAGGCCCCTTTGATGTATGATTGTTTTCACCCACTAGCTAGCAGTGACTCTAGGGGGCCCTCTGCTGGCCACGGGGCCCTTTGCAATTGCAAGGGTCGCTTAGTGGCTGGGCCGGCTCTGATCGTATCGTTAAACATTGCAGCAAGGAACCCGATCACATTCTTCAATGTTGCAGGTATATAACGATCAATATCGCGGAGTGTATTACAACAGCACGGCTTAGAATCTTTAAACCGAAAGGGAGCCTACGGCAGTGCATGATTGGCGTTGACTGCATTTTTGAACCGCAAACTGCGGGAGTCTCGTGGGATACGATGACGTGGGCTACGTGTCCGAGGAACGTTACCTTTTACTGGTAGGAACCTCCTGGTTACACCAGCCCACAGGGGATGATTGTGTCCGTCGTGCAGGGAGAGGCTGGGTGGGGAGGGGAGGGTGGGGAGGGGCTGGGTGGGGAGGGTGTGGCTGGGTGGGGAGGGTGTAGCTGGGTGGGGAGGGTGGGGAGGGGCTGGGTGGGGAGGGGCTGGGTGGGGCTGGGTGGGGGGTGGGAGGGGTGGGGCTGGGTGAGGAGGGGCTGGTCACCCCGTGGTGCCCTTATAAAACTCAACGTTTAGCCTACTCACGCCGGCTTGTGCCCGCCCTCACAGTCGGGCATATTTGTGGAATACACCACGCCGCCGTTGACCCTGGCCATTGACCGAGCAACCCAACGTTCCTACCAGCTCCCTCCGCAGGAGGAATGTGTTTGCGTTGAATCGGCCCTCGTCGTGTCAATGACATCTGGTGTACACGTTGGACTTCTCGCGCACCGTACGTAGCCGACCGTGCTCATCGGAGGATGTCCCAACAGAGTACGTATTTTGTCTACGAATGCCCTTGAATAACATTGGCGTGGAAATCCAATAGGCTGATGGACAAATATAATTGGGGCTTCGGCAGGAGACGCTGCTAAGCAGCAGGTGATGTGTATAGGAGTGGAAGCACGCGCACCGACGGAGATGGAGCGAACATTGAGAGTTTCCATGAATGAGCACATCGCAGGGTCGTGAGAGATGGCACTGGCTCTGCAAGCCCTTCATCATCAAGTGGAGTGACCTTGGATGACCGTGATGATGATGGCAATGGACTCAAACATTGCAATCTTCTGTCCTGTACGCAGTGACGGGAGACCTCGTTATTTATATAATTACTCATTTCAAATTAATTGCTCACATTCCAGTGCGAGATGTTCCCCAAATACTGCAGCGGATTTTAACAAAGGCTTCTGGATTTTAAACGGGATGGCACGGACTCACATAGGCAGGGTATGGAGCTAAAAGCCAGAAAAGTCAATAATGCTAATTGCAGGAATAATTTTGCTACATCCACCGCTCTGTATTTCACCCTCATTGAATCTTTTTTTTAACCAACAAATTCGGAGGATTATAGGAATACCGTGCCACGCAATATTATCGGCTTGTCGATGTATGAGCGTGCTTTGCACTATAAGTGGCAGTGTTCCGGAAAATATCGAATTAGAACCCAGGGCCCCATTCGGGGCATTGGCGAGGCGTTTTGAAATACCACGCGGCCCTGCAGGGAAGCTGGAACGCTAAAAGGCAAGTACAGACACCGCCTAATCACGGGTTAGTTATCCACGTGCGAAACAAGTTAAGATGATATTTTCCACAATCCATTAAATCGCGCGGTCTTCCGAATCTTACGAGCAGCGTTCAACGTATTCTACGTTGAACTTCTTCTGCACCGCACGTACCCAACCGTGCTAATCGTAGGTGCGGGGGGGTAAGGACAACAAACTAAACACTAAAACAGCGTTGGTTCCCCAACAGCAAGCAACCTGAATCGGTTTCAACAAACCTTGAACAGGATTCAGGCCTGCTGAAACCAACACTGCCCGATGGTTATAGAACAAGGATCCCTCCCCGTGTTAAAAATATATGCGTGGGCCTTAGTTCGAGTGTGGAAACTGTACAACTGTAATGCCCGGCAAACACGTGTGTGTTCATACACCAACGTTAGTATGGCCAAGGCGTGGCTATCTCGTTTCCTGCCTGCTCTGTGGTTGGGGGAGTAGGGTGAGATTGGTGGTCGTGTTTACCACATTGTTGGAAAAAACCCGATTTTTCCAGCGGCAGGCATCGGGTTTTTTCTTTAATACAATTAAACCCGATTTTGGGGAATTAAAACCTGGTTTAATGAATACAAAACTCT